CAGTGGATAGAGCATCGGCCCACAGACTGAAGGGTCCCAGGTTCGATTCCGGTCAAGGGCATGTACCTTGGCTGCGGGCACATCCCCAGTGGGGGGTGTACAGGAGGCAGCTGATCGATGTTTATCTCTCGTCGATGTTTCTAACTCTCTATCCCTCTCCCTTCCTCTCTGTAAAAAATCAATAAAATATATATTTTTTAAAAAGATGCACGTTACCAATTAGTAAGTTTACCAAGAGAAGCTGCAATCTTATCGCTTGTCTGGAACAACACACATGAATAAACCTGTCACTATGTGTTCGAATAACTGGCCCCTAAAAGCTACAGAAAACGACTCGGAGTTCACAGATAATAACAGTCCCCATCAGCACCCGAGAAAGTACTTAACAGACCACCAACACGAAGTTAATTTTTGAAATTACGCCCACGTAAAGGTTAAACACGCATCGCATCGCCTGTACTTCTTGCAAGAGTCCTGTGACGTCTCCTCCCCCAACACGATCACGTCTTGGAGATTTAACAAGTCTCACCGAGACGCAACCTATTAAAATGCACATATCTTACCTCCCTGAAAAAAATGAAAACGGATCGAATAAATAATACTGCTAATCTGGCCCCCTTGCGCTCTCCCTGCGCGCACACACACACACACACACACACACGCCCTGCCTTTCTCCACGACACGGCAGCTGGCCTGAAAGATTTCAAACGATCCCTTTGGCATCATCTTCCATCATCTTTTCAGGGGTGTGCCTGGCTCCCCTCTGAGCCCCGTCCTTTCACCGGGGTCCCCTTTGAGATCCGTCCATATTTCCATAATCCACGCCGCTGTTTCCTTGGGGCCTCCCCAGGGTGGAGAGACCCCCACCTCCGGAACAGGGGGTGGGAGGGGGGGTGTTACAACGGCCAGTAAGCCGGGTAACAATCGCAAGGCAACAAAAGAACCGGGCGGGGAGGAGGCTAGCTGGTACCATATGTTGACCAAGTTCAACATGCTCAGGTCGCAGGGGATGTGTTTTTTTAAACTTCAAAATGTGAGGAGGGCAGCGCCTTCCCAGCTACGTATCCTCCCCAATTGCCTTAGTAAACAGCGGGGCGCTGTGGCTTTCACCGGGCTCACCCCTGAACAATGTTCATGGGGATAACCAAAGGGAAGGGTCAGAGAGGTGGCATTTTCTGGGTCGTCGCCTCATCCCGGTAACCTACAAACCTCGCCCGACTCACCCCTATTCCTAAAAAGAAACAATACGTAAAATGATGCCAAAGGAGCATATTTCCTAGGCCTTCCTACTGACTCGATGCCCATTTTGAAAGACGTCAATGTTTTCGCCGCGTGCCATCTGACGATGTCATTCTTGTTTCCACCCTCTGTTTCATCGTGAACTGACGTTCCCTTCTTTTTCGAAGAGACTTTAGGGCCCAATCGTCGAGTTAATTTTTTTTTTCCCTCCTGACTCAGGGGAAACTGCTTCTGATTCATCGGCCCGTGTTATGTCACCTTGGAAAAATTTATTTTTTTCTCTCAAGGACTCAGAACTTTCTAGGACCAATTTGCAAATTTACGTGCCAAATAGTCACCGCTCAACAGAAAGTAACTTTTTTGTGAAACCGCAGTTATCTCTTTAAATCCGCAGCATCTATTATCATTTGATTTCTATAGCTACTGAGCAATGCCAGACCTTCTGGGAATGATGGGGGCATTTGCGTAGTTATTATAATGTCACTGCCATAAAAATAAACAAAGGCCTCGCTTCTGAGAGCTTATTAAAATAAAACCTGTTCACCCCTTCGGCAGGAAAAATAAGGTCAATTTTCCAGGGCCTCTCACATTTTATGATCTGCAATGTATGCGAGAATCTTCTTTGCAATGGGAGTTGTTTCCCAGTAAAATGTCTAAAATGCAGCCAAATTTCTAAAAGATCGCTGTTTTTCCCAAATTAGTTTCCCTGTCTGCAATGAAAATTTTTTAAATTTAAAAGTAGTAACTATAAGGCAGCAGGCAGGTAAAATCAGAATGTAACTACATTTTGCCTTGAGCTTCATAAAACTGTATTGACAAGAGAAACCAGTCTTGCCTCTATAAAGAAAGGTGGATAGAGAGAAGAATATAATTATAACAATAATCGTAGATTTAATCGTAAGCACTTTTGTTTTATTCTGATTCTTCTTTTGCAGACACAAAAATGTACAAAACAGGTAATATTCTGTGTCATAAAACAGGGGTAAGAAATAATGGCTATCGTAGGGTGACTAAGATAGATCACTGATACAACATTTAAGTATGAAACAAAGAATGATGTCATGAGATGATTATAATTCTCATACTATCATCTCTCTTTGCACAATTTTATTTCGTTAAAAATTAAAACTCGATGTGCCTTAGAAATACGGTTTATAGATAATGTGTATACTCACAGGGGTAGTGAAATGAAAATTAACCATCACACCTCAAAAACTGGCTCAAGACATTGAATTCCTTTCATTTAGAAAAACAATAGTCAGTATAGGATGCAACGAAATTATTTTTTTCCTGTGTATGGGATCAACTTGGAGTTAAAAATGACAAAACTGAGTCCAAACAAGCAAAAGAAAAACAAAACACTTTTAAAAAACACATATCCAACAACTGTTTAAATATTTATGAAAGTATGAAGATTGAATCACTTATTTTCAGATACTTTAGATCTGCTTTATGAAAGAACTTAGCAAAAACCCAGTCTCCAGGGCCCTTGGCCAGATTCCCATATAAAGTTTGGGCTTCTTTTATTTTTATTTATTTTTAATTTTATTGGTATCAGAGAGGAAGGGAGAGGGTGAGATAGAAAACATCCATGATGAGAGAGAATCGTGGATCACCTGCCCCGTACACACCCCACACTGGGGATTGAGCCGGCAACCCAGGCCTGTGCCCTGACCGGGAATCGAACCACGACCTCCTGGTTCCTAGGTCGACGCTTAACCAGTGGACCACACCAACCAGGGAAGTTTGGGCTTCTTTAGTCATAAAGTCAAAGTCATGGGACGCAGCAGTATCTAAGGCAGCAGTTCTGAACCTGTGGGTCGCGACCCCTTTGGCGGTCGAATGACCCTTTCACAGGGGTCGCCTAAGACCATCCTGCAGATCAGATATTTCCATGACGATTCATCACAGTAGCAACATGACAGTGATGAAGTCGCCATGAAAATAATGTTATGGTTGGGTCACAGCATGAGGAACTGTATTTGAAGGGCCAGAAGGTTGAGAACCACTGAATTCTAAGGCCTCTTTCAGCTCCAACCCCCCTCGCAAAGGGCTCCAAGAACGGCTGTGAACTGGGATCCGGGGCGATGAAGTTCGTCACCACTACATAGCTGCCTGCCTTAGTATTTTACTAAGTATGTGAGGGCTGACCTCACACGTATGGAGCACAAAGCAACCGTTCAGCCCGACGGAGCAATCCCCATCACCAGTGGAGAGGTCACAGAGAGGGTCAGCAGAATGAAAAGGGTGTCCCTGAGAAAGGACACGGTCGCCCTGATGGGAAACCCAAGTTATGGGGTCTTCGGATCCCCTAGAATTCTCGGGGTTTACAAGATGGAACACACACACACACTCCCCCGACAGAGACCTGGACAGGAGGTCAGTGGACAAGAGAGAATTGAGAAGACAAAGAGAAGAACCACCCGGCCGGTGTGGCTCAGTGGTTGAGCGTCGACCTATGAACCAGGAGGTCACGGTTCGATTCCCGGTCAGGGCACAGGCCCGAGTTGCGGGCTCCATCCCCAGTGGGGGGCGTGCAGAAGGCAGCCGATCCATGATTCTCTCTCATCATTGCTATTTCTATCTCTCTCTCCCACTCCCTTCCTCTCTGAAATCAATGAAAATATATTTTTAAAAAGAGAGAACATTATTTCCAAATGACAAAATGAGTCAGGAAGGCTCTCAGATGACTGCCTATAATGGTTTCTTTTGTTGTTGTTGTTAATCTTCACCGAGGACATGTTTCCATTGGTTTTTAGAGAGAGTAGAAGGGAGAGGGAGAGACAGAGAGAGAAACATCCATGTGAGAGAGACCCATCAATTGGTTGACTCCAGCACATGCCCTGACTAGAGCCAGGGATAGAGCCCGCAACCCAGGTCCGTGCCATAGACCGGAATCGAACCCGGGACCCTTCAGTCTACAGGCCGATGCTCTATCCACTGAGCCAAAGCGGCTAGCGCTAAAATCGTTTCTGAAGGAACTGCTTCAAACAGGGACGTGTGTCAGCATTCATGTCTGTCAATGATGAGAACTATGAAAATCACATCTGTGCATGTCACTTCCGGTTACATGGGCAGTATTACACTTTTATCATTTTAACAGCGACGAGGAACGTTTTAGCCCATTTCTTGGCAAATAACAAAAAGGAATCTGCTCCTCATTTTCCAAAAAAATAGCTCATTTCTATCACCATCCACGGGATGGAGCCCGCCACCCGGACATGTGCCCTGACCAGGAATTCCATCAGCAACCCTTAGGTGCACAGGACGATGCTCAACCAATTAAGCCACACGGGCCAGGACGAGAAAATACTGGCAATTCCATTTACAGACGTAAGTGATTCGGCTATTACTGTAACAGGAGCGAACCAATCCCTTGGTGATAGCAGTCACTACTCGCTTCTACGTAGACAGACATAGTAGGAGGGTGTTCAACAGGGTATGGTGTCATTTTTCTGATGGGGAAATTTGTAAGTGGTTCGAAGTATCGTTCCCATAGCTAGATTTTTAGAGAGAGTAAAACTGTGGTAACACGGAATATTCCGGTCCTATTTGCCTCACTCTCAGGGCTTCTTCCTCACCCACCTCCGGGTAACTTTACAAGACGTTCCCCGTCCATCATGCCCTCATGGCCTTTGTTCTGAGTTAATCCGAGAAATACTGAGAGCAACGCATGGGTCCTAGCGGCGGCCAAGACCGAGATCAGAATCTCAGTCCTCAGATTTTAAATGTTTTTTTTAAAAAAGGGTCAGGATTCCTACCTGGTCTCCGAAGTCCTCTGGGAATTTCCACAAAACCACGGGATCTGTAAAGAATTGATATATGGCATTAAACAGAGGCAAACACACACACACACACACACACACACATAAAACACTTTTACAGCCACGGTTATCAAAATCCTCCGAACACGGTCAAAGCGCCTTTTTAAAAATGCCCAGCCCAGCCCTGAATGGCCATGCTGTGGTATTTCCCCCCGACCGTCCGACCGTCCGACCGTCCGACCGTCGAGGAGCAGGAAAGCACTGGCAAGTCCCGTCAGGGTTGGAGGTTGCTGTCAGTCACGGGTGACGGGAAGAGAATTTAAACAGAAATGTGCTTCCCGGTACCATGTGCTGATCTGAAGCTCATACAAAGGGAGTGAGGTTATTTTTTTCTTCCAACCCATGACTGCTCAGTGCTACACCATTTGAGCGCTGTATGCTGAGTAGACAACCCGCCGCCTACACCTGAAGACCGTGGGGCTGAGAAATAAGGCCTCATATAAATAAATGGAGGATCTGGAATGACGGGATGAGGCAGCTCAAGTTCTCCTCCTACATTCATGAATAACCAACTACGTAACTTTTTGTTTTTGTAAATAACGGCCTAAACCCTTAGAGACTTGCTCTGAACAATACTTAGACATTTGTATGTGAAGAAACCTGGAAAAAGATATTAATTGCTCATAGGTTCAAATCAACTACCCTCTCATTCTAGATCTAAAATCATTCTTATTTGCCTGGCCGGCGTGGCTCAGGAGCTGAGCGTCGACCTAGGAACCAGGAGGTCATGGTTGGATTCCTGGTCAAGGGCACATGCCCGGATTGTGGGCTCGATCCCCAGTGTGGGGTGTGCAGGAGGCAGCCGATCCCTGATCCTCTCTCATCATGGATGTTTCTCTCGCTCTCCCTCTCTCTTCCTCTCCGAAATCAATAAAAACATATTAAAAATAAATAAAATAATTCTTCTTTGAGTTTGACTTACAGATTCAAAACCCTTAAGGAAGTGAAATTAGTATTTTAAGATGTGTTACTTTAGATCCAGCTGCAAAATGGCAGAGGCGCGCGTCTACCGACTACTTTACATAAATGCACACATTTAGAACAAAAAGGCAGGCAATTTGGGAAACTTTGTCCGTTAGTTTCACCTCTGAAAACGTATACAAGCAAGGGGTGCAAACGCATCTACTATAATGGCCCCTCTGTGACTGTGTTCCCCGGGAAGAATCATTCAGAGAATCAAACCACTCCGACTGTCAAATTATTTTGGTCCTTCAGACTCTCAAACCATAAAAGCAATGTAACCGAGAACTCCGGCCTTTCTAGATGTTTCCTCCCAGAATGATCTCACATTAGCTTCCCGCCTCAAAACAACGCAGCCTCTTTTTGCTCAGAGGTAAGTGAATCCCAGCGCAGGTAATGACCATGGAACGTCAAAGAACTTTAAACTCTTAATTCGTAGCAGGTTAATGTATCACTTGGCTTCTTCCGGGCCCTTTAAAGTAAAGACCTATTATCATAAAATGAAAACCTTCATCAATCACCTGATCGAGTAATTCCGAGCCGATCGCGTCAGTCCAAACTTAACCCAACGGGGCTAATGGGTGAGAATTGAATTGAAAACACCTTGACAGAGAAAGCAATTTCTTTTCTCGCACTCCTCTGAAGCTGTGGGTGACCGCGGTAATCGAACCATCAACAGCGAGGGGCCATCTGTCCCAAGGGCCATTCATGAGAGTTCGTTTTTTTGTGTTGTGTTTTTTTTTTTTTTAATTTTAAATTAACAACAACAAAAAAAAGAAAGCCACGCTGAACCACAGATGTTCAATCTTGATTAATCTATGACAAGAAACTTACAACTGAGAATCAATGTTTTGACGTTTTTCAGATGCCAATCATTAAAAGCCAACACAAAAGTTTTTTACAAGTACACGGGGGGAGGGGGGGCGGCGGCGGGGGGGGGGGGAGAGGGGCAGTGAATGGGTTGCTTATAGAAAGATGGTCTTTCAAAGGAAATACTTTTTGGTCACCTGAGCTGTTCATCATATCCTAAAGCAGCGGTTCTCAACCTGTGGGTCGCGACCCCTTTGGCGGGCGAACGACCCTTTCACAGGGGTCGCCTAAGACCATCCTGCATATCAGATATTTACATGACGATTCATCACAGTAGCAACATGACAGTGATGACGTCGCCACGAAAATAATTTTATGGTTGGGTCACAACATGAGGAACTGTATTGAAAGGGCCGGAAGGTTGAGAACCGCTGTCCCAAAGCAATAGCTTTTCTTATGATTCCTTTTAGAAGGAGAACAGACAAGAGGCTATGCTGTAAATGAGCTCTCAGGGCCCTGGCTGGTTTGGCTCAGTGGACAGAGTTCGGATTGTGGACTGAAGGGTCCCTGGTTCGATTCCCGGTCAAGGGCACGTGCCCTGGTTGCGGGCTCGATCCCCAGCAGGGGACGCGCAGGAGGCGGCCGATCCACGATTCTCTCTCATCATTGATGTTTCTCTCTCTCTCTCCCTCTCCCTTCCTCTCTGAAATCAACAAAAATACATTTTTTTAAAAAATTAGCTCTCGGATTAGCACTGGAAACTGTTCATTGTGTGTATTCTCTCTGCAAGTATACGATGAAATACGAAGGACTGCGTTTATAGTCACAGTTCCCATTGCACGTAAGCTTTCAACGGAAAAAAACATTTACAAATGAAAACTGTGATTTTCATCGAGCATTCCCTTTTAATATGTCAGTTTGTTAAGCGTTGTCACTAATCAACACAAGACAGGGGTTGGCAAGAGTAGGTGTACAGTTGTTCGTATGGCAAGTAACGCAAGAATCACTACATAATCACACAAGAATAAACTGTGTTTCTCGTCCTCATGACTGTAAACCGATTTGTGCCCAGCCCTGTAGTTAGTATGAAACACTTGGAAACCAGTATTCTTGTGTTTTGGGGGGAGGGATTTTTGTTATTGTTTTATAATGTCTTTTTTTGAAAATATTTTTTTATTGATTTCAGAGAGGAAGGGAAGGGAAAGATGGAAACATCCATGATGAGAGAGAATCATTGACTGGCTGCCTCCTGCACACCCCCTCCCGCACCCCCGGGGACGGAGCCCGCAACCCAGGCATGTGCCCTTGAATGGAATAGAAGCTGGGACCCTTCAGTCCGCAGGCCTACGCTCTAGCCACTGAGCCAAACTGGCTAAGGCACAAACTAGTGTTTCTGTACACGCCTTCGCTTCCTGTTTCTTCCGGAACATGTCTAACCCTGGACACAGTGAACACAGCCAACACGTAATCTGCATGAAACTGTGTTGCCCCTTATTGTCAACGATTATCCTGCAGAGATACCCCTCCCCAAAACCCCATATTTCACAGCAAAGCGACCACTCTGAGACACGGCTAGTCCCCTGGAGCAACTAGGACAAAATACAAAGAGAGAACACACCATTTTTCTAAAGAAGGAAATCAACCTCCTCCATGGACTGTCATGATTAAACAGAAACGACCGCTTCCACGGATATAAAAGAACAACAGTGCCCAAGACCTTGAAGAAAATTCCCCAAGTACGACAACTCCCCCTTCTAAACACCACATCCAAAAGAAACTCAAAGACCAACAGATATTTAAATCCGCAGACCCCGGGGCCTTCCCGTGTCCCCGTGGCTGAAGGCACCCCTGCCCTCACGCCATCGGTTCTGTCTCAACCAATGTTTTCTGCACATAGTCGTCCGTTACTTCCGATCCTCAGCGAGGTTAACTTTTACCAGAGTTCAATGTGAAAGGGCTGCTTCAGGTGAATGCACGCTCCGTTTGAACGCTGAAGGCACCCGTCCTCCGTGGCACGTCTGCCACCGGACCAAGACGAAACGGTTTCTGAAATGACTAATTTCTGGACGCTTCCCCGGCTGCAGAACACGCTCAGATGCACCAGGCCGATAGCTCGGCGCTGTATTTCCAGATTCGACCGATAAGGGAGGAGGAAGTGAAAGAGGAAAGGGCCCTATCTGATCTTCACCGGTTCTGCCAACTCAGTGACAGAGCCTGTGGTTCATCGTCAACGTCCTTCTTTTTTTAAAAAAAAATTCTTTTTAAAGAAAGCACCCTTGCTTGTGATGATAAAAATCTACAGCCTTTCAGTGCTCTTGGCAAGAAAGCTTTTGAACATGTTTTTATTAAAATCCGAAATACGGGTGTTGGAGATACAGCACCGCCTTTTCTTCACTTCGTTTACTTTTAATATATTTTTATTGATGTCAGAGAGGAGGGGAGAGGGAGAGGGAGAGGTGGAAACATCCATGATGACAGAGAAGCATGGATGGGCTGCCTCCTGCACGCCCCCCACTGGGGATCGAGCCAGCAACCCGGGCCTGCGCCCTGACCAGGAATCGGGCACCCCACCCCCCAGGTAAAGGGAGGGGGTAGGGGTGAGATCATTCACCCGAAAAACCCAGAAGTCACCTTGGACGCCAGCAGCAAAAATAAAGAACAGGTGACCCACAGGCATAGCTACCGAGACCAGTTATAATCAAACTGTTAAAAAAAATACAGGGTGTCCCAAAAAAGAACGTATACACACTTTAACGGCGGAGAGCTCCATTTTGCAAATGCAATGCCTGTTAATACACAACGCCTTTATAATTATTCACAGCGTGTGTGTACATTTTGGGGGGACGCCCTACATAAACTCCACAGCATCCTTATCGAAGTAAGAACCAACAGATACGGAGTGTTGACATGAGATTTTTAAATACGTATATTTTTTTATTTCAGAGAGGAAGGGGGAGGGAGAGAGATATAGAAACACCGATGATGAGAGAGAATCATGGACCAGCTGCCTCCTGCACGCCCCCCCCCCCCCCCCGGGGATCGAGCCTGCAACCCGGGCCTGTGCCCTTGACCGGGAGTCGAACCGTGACCTCCTGGTTCCTAGGTCGATGCTCAACCACTGAGCCACACCGGCCGGGCTGAAATGGGGTTAGGCTTTCACACCTGCAGGCGAGGCGGCTCTATGAAGGAGGATTTGCTGACCGAAGCCACATCTAAAAGTCCAGCTGGACTCAAAGATTTTCTACATGAAACAAAGGCAGCGCCTCTCACAGACACGGCTCTACAGAGCCAGGCTCGCTGTGGCCCCCGCTGGCAGGTGGGAGAAAAGGGGAGTTTGGTTCACGTCAGCGACCCGCGGATAAAGGGAACCCTTTCGGGTCCGGGTGACCCTAATCCATCCAGTGTGTGCGGATGGACAGGGAGCCAGAGAGAGTTCTCGAATGAGCGCACCGCCAAAGGCAAACCCTGGTGACCACATTTCACTCACAGGTGGTGTTTTTTTTTTTTTCCACGTGGGGCGATATGCAAAGTGTCCTAAACCACTTCATTGCAACGTGTGATTCACCAAAGCCCTACTTTCTAAATGTCAGGGTTCCCCTGGGTTTGGGGCTGTGTGGGTGGGTGCACACAGGTTTCAATGCGGCCTCCAAAAAAACGTACATCTACCCCTAGCCGGTGTGGCTCAGTGGATAGAGCGTCGTCGGCCCGTGGACTGAAGGGTCCTGGGTTCGATTTCGGTCAAGGGCTCGAACCTCGGTTGCAGGTTCCCCGGCCCTGGTCCGGGTGCGTGCAGGAGGCAACCGATCGGTGTGTCTCTCTCACATCCATGTTTCTCTCTGTCTCTCACTCTCCCTTCCACTCTCTCTAAAAATCAATGGAAAAAATATCCTTGGGTGAGGATGATCAACAACAACAACGAAATACATATACAGTGAGGGTCCTGGTGAGTCTGTGGTTCAGAGGAAAGACGCGGGTCCTGAATGGGAAGGGCTGAGCGGAGGGCGTCCTGACCCAGCCCAGCCCGAGACCCACACGGTCCCACACGTCCAACGTCCCTGCTCCAGTCACAGCGACTCACGCCCCAGGTCGCTTCCGTGACCAGCAGCTCTCCGAAGTGACGGATCGGCGCTCACGTGCCCCGTGGCTGGGCACGGAGCCTCGTCCGATCACCTGGATCCACCCGGGACCCGCTCCCCACGCAGGCCTGGCCGTGCTGAGCTCTTCCTTCTACGCAAAGGAGGAAGCGGGGCAGGAGCTTCCCTGACGCAGGACCAACAGACACTCAGACACCGTCTCCGTCTGCATGTTCCACCCCCATTCCTGTCCGGACACAGTGAGTGCCAAGTACGGGCGCGTCCCGGGCCAACAGGACCCCCACAGGCGAGACGCACCCCAGGCGAAGTGGGCTCGGAAACGCCTTAGTGCACGGGGCGTGGGGACACGGGCTGGGTCAGGGCCCGCTGGCCTCGGCTTCTGATTTCAGAAGAGAGACAGAGGGACCAGCTGGTATGGCTCAGTGGTTGAGTGTCGACCTAGGAACCAGGAGGTCACGGTTGATTCCCGGTCAGGGCACATGCCAGGATTATGGGCTCGATCCCCAGTGTGGGGTGTGCAGAAGGCAGCCGATCCATAATTATTCTTCTTCATCATTGCTCTCTCTCTCTCTCTCTCTCTCTCTCTCTCTCCCTCCCTCCCTCTCTCCCTCTCCCTTTCCCTTCCTCTCTGAAATCAATAAAAACATTTTTAAAAATAATAATAAATAATAATAAATAGGGGGAGAGATCAACCAAAGGACTTATATGCAAGCATATAGGCCTAACCAATGGACACAGACAACGAGGGTGAGGGCATGAGTGGGGGGGATAGGGGATAACATGGGGATAAGGACACTTATGTAATAACTCAATCAATAAAAAAATTAAAAATAAATATTAATAAATACGTGTACCCCACTCAGCTTGTTCTCGCAGATTGCCTCCCATGATCACAGAGCAGCCGACCGTGAACTCATGTGAGGTTAGGAGAGGCCACGGGCCAGGTGATTAAAACAACAGATCGGATCTGCTTGCCAAGCAACCCAGACGCAGGAGCTGGGCCTCGGGGCACATTTCCTCGCTTCTCTGTGCTGCTCCGGCTTCTCCACCTGCCAGACGGGAGACGGGCGGCTCCTATCTCCTCCCCGATCTGTGCAGGAAAGAAACACCCGCTTCGGAGGAGCCATCGCCAAAACACCGCAGAGGAAGCTGGCGGGCACGCGGGCCAGGGCCGTGGGGCTCTATGCAACCCTTTCCCCCAAGTCCCACGCAACGTCTCTGACACGACACGCGCGTCCAAATTCGGATCCGAGGAAGGTGGCCAAGTTCTATGTCAACGAGCAAGACCCTGACAGATCACTAACCAAAACCCGGTTAACAATCACGCGTCTCCAAAGAGGTTTCCGACCTGAACTACTGGGGATGCACGAAAGGATTTAAAACGTCCCCATGGAGAAGTGGGCGAGGGAAGCCTGCCGAGTACCTTACCGTAACGTCCCCAACCTTCGCCAACACCCACTTGACCCCCGGCGTCCTACGTTCTACTGGATCCCGTGGCCATCAGAAATACAAACCGCTATTCCCAGACATGCAGAGAGCATTTTGATTGATTTTCCAACTTTGACTCCTTGCCAGGTGCTTAGTAAATCGTCTTCCCACTCCCCCCTCCGCCGCGACACCCACCAATGACTATTTTAGGGATGGTTGGGCCCCAGGGCAGCGTGGGTCCCTGGGATCCGAGGTGCTGGGGGATTCTGGGAAAGAAACTTCCTGGCCGGATCTCCCATGACCTACTTTTACACTTCCTCTTCTGTGAAACAACCGGCAAGCTTCCTTATTATCCAAACTGATTTGGAATCTGGGCCCTAAAGCATCCTGATTCACACGGGTGGTTTTTCAGGTAAATTCCTACACAAGTAGGGCCTCCGGGTGCCTTTAACGTCCAGGGGTGGGGAACGTCCGGCCCTCGGGCCGTATCTGCCCCGGGAAAACATCTGGTCTGGCCCTGCCCAGGCCTCCGGGGTGAGTTCATTAAACGTCTGACCGCCTTAGCTGGTTTGGCTCAGTGGATAGAGCGTCGGCCTGTGGACTGAAGGGTCCCGGGTTCGATTCCGGTCAAGGGCACATGCCTGGGTTGTGGGCTCCATCCCCAGTGGGGGGCGTGCAGGAGGCAGCCGATCCGTGATTCTCTCTCATCATTGATGTTTCCATCTCTCTCTCCCTCTCCCTTCCTCTCTGACATCAATAAAAATATATTTAAAAAAATACAAATGACGATGTTTCTAAAAAGCAGCAGTTTGCACAGCAACAGCCAAAGGGCAAGAAGAGAAGACCAAAGTGGGAAAAAGCAACTGGACAGACCAGTTCCTAAAAGATGGGCGAGGGCAGAGGGAGTGAGGACGGAGCCAGCCACTCGCAAGTCTCCAGGGAAAGGTCACGGCCCGCCTGCCCCAGGCACGGACCTGGTCCTTTCATCGCGATGACTTTAGCCTGCACGCACTCATGACTATAAGAGGCTGTCTTCCATCAACAATAGGTTATAAGAGGCTGCCCTCCCTCTCAACACTGAGGTTTCAAACTATGTTTAAAAAAACTATTCATAGTTTTGCATTTCTGATGTCTGTCTGTAGACGCCCAGAAATTAAAATGTACAAACCGTGGCAGAAAGAGAGCCGCCATGGTCCCAGCCGGCCAGCATGCAGCAGCCAGGGCCAGCCGAGCCCGGACCGTGTGCGACTTCAACTTCCTGCCCGACGTCAGCCACACCCCTGTCGCCACAGCCGGGGTGGGCACCTCTATTTTAAGGTGTGCAGCTCCAAATTGCTTAAGAGCATAGAATTGCTTTTTTAAAAATAAAGGCATATAATTGCTTTAAAAAAAAAAAGGCATATAATTGCTGGCCAGTTTCTGACGCTGAAAGTGTCGGCCGCCTTTGCACCAAGAATAGAGGCCTCATCTCCCCAGACCCACACCTAAGCATCAGGTGACGAGGGTCCGAGCACACCACCAGGGAAATCACACCAGCCACAGCCGTGAAGACATCACACAGGACACGCTGAAAAGGAAAGAATCAGGAAGATAACCCTCATTCTCTCTCTCACACACACACACGCACACACACACACAACAAAAGTGGGGAAAATGAACAAAAACCACCCTCGCAAAGGGCTCTGTCTTTTCAGGAAAATGCACAGAACTGACAGCTGAAACCCTTCCCAGGCATGTCCCACGCCTGCTTCCCTCCCTCCCTCCCTCCCTCCCCCCACCAGGGCTGGGCAAGCGAGGTCATTCCAACAGAAGGGGCAATTCCAGGACCATCAGGAGGGAACTGGTGAGGCTCCCCCTGGACTGGCGGAGAATTTCACTGGTGTTTGATATATTTATTATTTTTTATATTTTTTTATTGAGTTGAGAGAGAGAGGAAGAGAGAGACAGAAACATCCATGATGAGAGAGAATCACCGATCGGCTGCCTCCCGCACACCCCCCACTGGGGATCAAGCCCCCAACCCGGGCCTGTGCCCTGACCGGGAATCGAGCCATGACCTCCTGGTTCCTAGGTTGGTGCCCGACCACTGAGCCACACCGGCCGGGCCTCACTGGCGTTTTGAAAAGGAGCCACCTTTCCGAAGAGGAGTGAAAGGAAGTGAAACATGACGGCCCCACGGGACGGCCGCGCTGGAAGCTGTGTGTGTCTCCCACACCTGACACCGAAGCTGCACAGACAACATTCACGGTTGCTGCCAGCGCAGGGCCGAGACCCGCGGCGATTTCATTCCCAGCAACGAACGTGAGGCGGCAGGAGGCGCAGAGAGTCACGCAGCGAGAACCCTCACGCGTCCCCCACGCCGACACGCGCTGGGACGGACTCAGCCGTCTGAGGAATGGACAGAACGCACGTACCTTCGCCTTCAGAGGAGTGACATTTCACGTTCAATACCAGGTCAAAGGTTCTTTCTGGGTTTTCCCTAAACGAAAAAAAAAAAAGAGCCTGGTTATAGTCCTGTCCCGGGACGTGCGTAACCATCTCCGAAAAGCCGGTGTTCTCATCACTCTCAGTCGGTGCCGGGGACGACATGGCCGCAGTGCGGCGCAAATACAGTTTTGTTGTTGCCATCTTCCCACGTCAGCAACTTGAGAGCGAGGGGGAGGCCCAGGAGGCCTGAGACGCCGGGCAAAACATTTCACCTCTGAGCTTCCCCCTGTAAAGGGCCTACTTCGCATCACAGTGCAATTGTGAGGATCCAGTAAATAAAATTGTGAAGATTAGGTAAACTGAATAGTACATCTGGAAGTACCTTATAAAGAATTAAGTGATGCCTCCATGAAAAGCATCATCTTGCCCGGCCGGTGTGGCTCAGTGGTTGAACCCTGACCTAGGAAGCAGGAGGTTAAAGTTCGATCCCCCGTCAGGACACATGCCCGGGTTGCAGGCTTGATCCCCAATGGGGGGGCGTGCAGGAGGCAGCCCATCCATGATTCTCTCTCATCACTGATGTTTCTCTCTCTCTCTTTCTCCCTCTCCCTTCCTCTCTGAAATCAATGAAAAATGTATTTTAAATATAAATTTTTAATATATATTTTTAAATATAAATTTTTTAAATATATATTTTTTAAATGCATCATCTTTATTGTATAGAATCTAAACGAAAGCCGCATGGTCCTATGCACAGAGCAGGCCTCGCAATATTATGAACCGTCTGGCTCCGCCCGCCCCTTCCAGGCCACCAGCAGCCACGGACCACGCTCCTTCAGTGACATGCGTGGCCCCTACTTCTCTTGACTTGGGCACGTTCCAAGCAGCAGACCACACACACGGACGGCAAGGCCACCACCACCAGCCTCGCTTTCCGTCCATTATCTCGGGGGGAAGGACACACCTGCCTGCTGGTTCCACTTTCCCACCAGGAGCTGGACAGGGGGTGGGGGGGTGGGGGGGTGGGAGGGGGGCGCTGCCTCACTCAGACATTCCCTTCTGTACCAACTTCTCAGACATGCCACCGACTCATGGGCTTTGGTTCAAAAACTGAATTGCAATCTAGGCAGACACTTTTTTTTTTTTTTTTCAAAACAGGGTCCTGTTTTCACCTCTTTCTGCCAGAAGATAAGAGATGCGAGTCTGATACCACAGTGGCCACGTGACCAAAGTGCTCAGATATTTGTCAGGCTCCCCCGGCAAGGCCCTGGCAAGGAGGCTTTCGCGTCTGATCAGACTCCGCCGCTGGGCTCCCGGGTAAACACTCTTTTTCTTTTCAAATTTTATGATCAAAGACGAGAAGCCAGAAACAGGAAGTGACCGGCCACATCCATTCACCTGCAAGTAGAGGCACAGTCCCTCGGCCCCGGCCGCTGTGCACCGGTTCCAATGGTCACACTCCGACCCGGTGACCTCATCCCGCACCACCTAGCCAAATGGCAAAAAGGGGATTTTTCCCATCCCCCCCGCCCCCCATCCGCCCAGGAGGGCAGAAAATCCATTTCAACTACAGAATGTCCCTAAAATCCCTGCCTGTGCCCCTTGGGGACAGACCTGACATCGGCCCAGCTACTGACACCTGTGACATTTAAGAACCCTTTCCCAGCCGCACAAATACACTGGATGTTCATGGCTTTAAAGTCTGGGACAGGAGGGGGTGGCTAAAAAAGAGGGGGGTGGAGAGAGAGAGAGAAACAAGAAGGAATTCTTTGCCAAGTAAGTTTAGGAATGGGGGGGGAGGAGAGAGAGAGAGAGAGAGAAGGAAACCAAATCCCCGCATCCATGCAAGTCGCCTCCGACCTCCTGAAGGTTCTGAAGGTCCCGGAGCGCCCCCGGGGCTGCTGGGGGACCCGACGCCTGCAAACCCTGCCCAAGTGGACGCCGGTTTGCAGGCGCCCTGCCCCGATCATGGGGGGGGGGGGGGGCGCGCGTTCGCCCGCAGAAGCGGCGGGAGGAGGGGCACCCCCTGGGGGGAGAAGACCCGCCGGGAGCCGCCGGGAAGGCGAGCGGGGCGGGGGGGTGGGGGGGGGGAGGGGTGGCCGGATCGCGGGGACCCCGGGGCGAGGCCGGGCCCGGGCCTAGCGCGCACTCACCGCGTCCTGCTGTCCATGCTCACATGTCGCGGGCGCGCTCGGGGGGCGCGCGGGGCGGCGGCGGCGGCGCTCGGGGGGCCCGTGTCGCCGCGCGCGCCCGCCCGCCCGGCCGCGGCCTCTGTGACAGCAGCGGGCGCCGCCCGTGTCCCCGCCGCCCTCCCGCCCGCGGCCTCGGTTCCTGCGCCGCCGCCGCCGCCGCCGCCGCCGCCGACCAGGAAGTGGGCGGGGCCTCGGGAGGGGGCGGGGCCGGGGCGCACCTGGCACCTGACCGCCCGCCGCCCGGCGCGTCCCCGCGCGACCTCCGAGCGAGCGGCGCCCCCAGATCCTGCGCCATCCGCGGCGTTGGGCGCGCGGAGCGGGCTCCCCGCGGCGGAGGTCCCGTGCGCTGCGCCCCCCTCGCCCCCCGCGCGCCTTTGGGGGGCGCCCCCTGCACGGGGCGGGTCCCCACTTCACCCTTGAGGCCAAGCAGGTGCTTTGCTTGGAGCTGGAGGTGGAAACCCTGGGAGGCCGCACCTGGGCAGCCTGGCCCCCCACCCCTGCGCCTCTGACCAGGGCCTGGGGACCCCAGTGCACAACACAGGGCGCCCCCTCCTCATTCACCCACGTGCACCTGCCAAGTAGGCCACCCAGGGCCCACGGGTGGGGGCGCCCCTGGGTGCACACGGGGTGTCTTCGCAGGCCCGCCTGCACGCGCAGCGCCAGCAAGGACCGCGTTTTGTTGTTATTTTGGGTTTTTTGGTTTTGGTTTTTGAATGTGTTCAGGCTACTGCCCCTGCTTGTTTTTGTTGTTTTCATTGATGTCAGAGAGGAAAGGAGAGGGAGAGAGAGAGAAACATCAATGAGGAGAGAGGATCATGGGTCGGCTGCCTCCTGCACGCCCCCTGCTGGGGATCAAGCCCGCTACCCGGGCAGGTGCCATTGGCCAGAATCGAACCCGGGGCCCTTCAGTCAGCAGGCCGGCGCTCTATCCGCTGAGCCACACCAGCCAGGGCGAGGACTACGCTTTGGACACACTCACAGCAGCGGATGCACGGGAGGCCTGGGGACCATGAGACACAGCCAACATGTCAGAGCTGGGGCAGGAGGGGAGCAGGTGATGGCACCCAGGGGGCCTGTCCTACGCCAGGTGATGGCCACTGACCAGCACTTTCTAGAAGGAGAGGCAGCAAGCCAGCCAAGGGGGGTGTGTGGGGGGCATGACAGGGCCGCCCGGTGCTGGCGAGTGAGGCCACCTCACAGGCCCCTCTCTCTGTTCTGCGCCTTCCTCCCCAGGCTGGGGGAGAAGACACCAGGAAACGTCTCCGGGAGAACCTTCCACGGACTGTTCGGGGCCCGACACCTGTACGGACACCTTCTGGAGGCTTCTCCCACCGGGATTACCACCCAGGACGCCTGGCCGCTGTTTGTCACCCGGACAGGGCAGTTGCTTCCGACTCAGTTCTCACAAAAGGTAGGAGGGGAGGAAGCCGAATGTGGTTTGCAAAAGGGTGAGTCATGACAGGTCCAAGCCCAAGGCCAACCCTCAGGAACTCACAGCAGAATTTAGGCTCAAGAGCCTGAAAGGAAACTGGGTTACGCCCACGTTGAGTGTACCTGCCCAAGGTGGGGGGGTCCTTGGGCAAGGCAACCAGGTCTAGTGTGTCGCCAGGGACTTAATCGTCCACAATGCAGGTAGCACATCATGAGGAACCGGGGTGGGGGGGTGTATACATTAGCCTAACGTGTTGTCATAGCTCGTCACACCCAGGCATTTCGGCTTCTGGGTTCCTGCGCTGGTAGAAAGGGAATAATGACGTGTCTGTCACGCGGACAGCGCCGTGTGCTAGTCAGAAAGGGCTGCCGATTTTATCTGATCTTTTCAGAAACGATTCTGTGGATTTCAGTTTCAGTTAGGCAAACGGTACCGCACACATCCCCCCCCCCCCCCCCCAAATAAAACTCCTTTCTACCCAAAGAGTTACCATACTGCAGACAAATTCTGCAAACTGAAAAACCACTTCTGCTCCCGGGGTTACTAAATGGCTAGAACTTCTCCTTTCATTATAATGAATTCTCCTCCCCAAAGAAGGAACCCTACCTGGGATGCCTGCATGAGGGTTGTTTTTTTTTTTATCTGTGGTGCGGAAATGTTAATATATAGGTTTCTCCCGCCCGCGTGCTGGGATGTAAGCGACAGTTATACCTCTGCAGAATCATGGTTATTTTTTAAAATTTATTTAAGTATATGAAAGGAAAACACTATATATGCACACACCAAACAAATCTTTATATATATTGATTGATGTATATATATATTGATTTCAGAGAGGAAGGGAGAGGGAGAGAGAGATAGAAACATCCATGATGAGAGAGAATCATGGATCAGCTGCCTCCTGCACACCCCACACGGAGGATCCAGCCCACAACCCAGGCCTGTGATGTGCCCTGACCGGGAATCGAACCCTGACCTCCTGGTTCATAGGTCAACACTCAACCACTGAGCCATGCCGGCTGGGCCCAAAACAAATCTATTTAAACCAGCGTTGAAGCTGACCATACGTGAGATTCCTTTATCTATTCTGGTATGACTGAGATAAAAGGGACACATACATTTACGGACACAATTTGCATGATTGGTTACAAATTACCGGAAAAGAGAATTCTGTAGACACTGATCTTGGGGACATGTCTATTTAAACCAGGGGTGGGGAACCTTTTTTCCGCCAAAGTCCATCTGCATATTTATAACATAATTCCTGGGCCATACCAAATTATCAACTTAAAATTAGCCTGGCCCGGCCAGTGAGCGTCAATCTATGAACCAGGAGGTCACAGTTCAATTCCAGGTCAGGGCACAGGCCGGGGTTTTGGGCTCGATCCCCAGTAGGGGGTGTGCAGGAGGCAGCTGATCCATGCTTCCCTCTCACATCGATGTTTCTCTCTCTCTCTCTCTCCCTCTCTCCATCTCCCTCTCTCTCTCTCAAAAGATAGTCTTCCAGTTTGAAGACAAAAGGGCTGAGATCCCTCTCAACATCTTTCTCCCCTGAATATATCCAACTCTTTCTAAAATTCAAGGGGGAATAATATCTGTGTCTTTGGCTGCTAAACTTTCCGTGAAAAAGGATAGCCCAGTTCTCAAAGACAACCCAGCCGCGATGTCCTGTCCCCCCACCCCCACCACCTTTCCAGGTGACTTGCCCCAAAATTAAGGAATCAAAGCTCTTACCTCTGACCGGCATCTCCTGGTCGGCCTTGCTCCCTGCTCCCCAACCTGCCAGACATCGGGAAGCTTAAGACAGTCCTGAGTTAAGCAAAAATGGTCAGAAGCAGAGTAGCTCGGGCGGACTGTATCGGAGAAGTCCGGTACTCTTCCCGGACACCTTGAGGAGGCTCACCTGGGCCCCAGGCACAGGGCGGGGTGTGTGTGTGTGTGTCCCCTGTGTCACCGCCTGGGACAGAACCTCCCAACCCCACCCACCAGACACTCCCGTAAATTAAAAACATCCCCACGGTAAGCCAGCTCAGCTCACACCCATCCATCCTCTCTGGAGAGTGAGTCATCACGTCCAATTCTCAGTGACATCAGAATGTATTGGAGGGATGCCTGGCTGGTGTGGCTCAGTGGAGCCTGCAACCCAGGTATGTGCCCTTGACCGGAATCGAACCCGGGACCCTTCAGGCCGCAGGCCGACGCTCTGTCCACTAGGCCAAACCAGCCAGGGTGGAAGGAAGGTTTTTAAATCAAGTGGCCTGCTTGGAGGGTGAAACAGCCGACCCCAGCCAGCCAGCTGGCAAAGCCAGGCTGTGAGCACAGAGAAAAGGAAAGAGGCTCAGTGTTTGCGTCGCTCTGTCACCCATGCACGCAGGCCTCACGTACAAACCAGAAAGACAGGCCTGGCCTCGTTGGCGTGTGGCCTTTTCATAGCCGCGATGTTGTCAAGCGCTTTACGATCGTGTTTTATAAGCTGGGTTTCCGTCGTCCGTGACGTATAGATTAGTAGGTGAAACAGGTACCATACCTGGCAAAGCAGGAAGCTAATTCTCTAGGGATATCTTATCCCAAGAATGCACACACACACACCCCCCCCCCAGCCCCGTGTGTGCCACAGGCCCTAGGAAACAGGTCAGCCTGCGAAATTCTACTGAGACATCAAGCCATTATCTTCATAAAGCCCATAAGACTCTCTCTCTCTCTCTCTCTCTCTCTCTCTCTCTCTCTCTCTCTCTCTTTCTCTCTCTCTCGCTCAACAAATATGAACAAGACTCAAGTGGGTCCCTGTTTCAATTCCAATGATTTATTGTCATATGGCCTCTCCCTCGTTGATGTGTTTAAAATATCCAAATTACAATCGTGTTAGGTATTTCTGTAGTCATCCCTTTCTTCAAAAGTCCTTTGTAGCCCGGCCGGCGTGGCTCAGTGGATGAACGTCAACTGATGAACCAGGAGGTTACGGTTCGAGTCCCGCTCAGGGCACATGCCCGGGTTATGGGCTCGATCCCCAGTGGGGGGCGTGCAGGAGGCAGCTGATTCCATAATTCTCTCTCATCATTGATGTTTCTCTCTCTCGCTCTCTCCCTCTCCCTTCCTCTCTGAAATCAATAAAAACATCTATTTTTTTAAAAAGACACTCACTGAACCCACATATGCCGCAGCTGGGGCCCTGGTCAGCCAGGGACCCAGAAGAACCAAAGAAGTCCCAGGAAGCAAAGCCTGTGCCCTTACCGCCCAGCGTGGCTCAAGTCGTTAAAACTGCTCAGAATTTCGACGTTATGCTTCTGTTTGGAGGTTCAGGGCTAGTCACGGCGGTGCTCCCCTGTCAAATGACAGAGCAGGAGGGCACCCCAATTGCACATCCAGGAAGAGGGGCGTGGGCAGGAGAGAGAGTCCTCCGTCGTGTTGGTGCCTGAGGCCAGCAAGTCCCCTTTGCAAGGAGGAGTCGGGGGCAGGTACACCCCGAGTTCCTTCTCCTTCCTTCCTTCCTTCCACCTCCTGCTGCGGGACCCAGGGTTCGAGTCACCACAAAGCCCGCCGGGCCCAGAGGCTGAGCTGGTGCGGCCCGTCCACGTGGTTCCCCGGGGGCAGACAGCAGAGAGGAAGGTGGACACGTGGCCTGAAGGAGCCACACGGACACTCAGCCCCTGGTGCCTTGGGTGTTTGCAACATGCTCCACGCCCTCTGACCCCTTCCAAGCAGACCAGCTAGCAGT